GTGCCAAAATACTATAATTCTTTGAGGTATATTTTTAAAAGTGTCAGTCATGTATGGACACAAAATGAACACAAGCATAAATGACATTCTGGAATTTACATTTACAACAATGAGCTTAAACAAATCTATGTGATGTTCAGTGTGTTATGATTTCCAAATATTAAATCATTGTCCTTTAGTTAAAGTTAATGTATTACTTTTTTGATTTGAAACTAACTGAATGTTCTGCATAAGGACAGAAAAACAAAGGCTATTATCATCCAATTTGTGCTACATATTTACAGTATACTGTTCAGAAGGTTTAAGCCATACAAACAGTTTAATGACTTTAGCATTGTAAAAGGAAAAGGTTAAAAAATAACTTCCATTTATGATATACATAATATTTTATTGATGGTACATGTAAAAAAAAAGTCAAACATCATAAATGGTTATGAAAGTGTTTCTCTTAGTTTCACTTTCTCACTAAAGACACCTAATCTTTTTCTGATATGATAACTAAGTGTGCCTCAATTTCTTGCTCGGTCAGCTTCCTGAAATAGAAAATTACCATAATAGTTAGTTTTTTAATTGTAATTATTGAAGTATTATTGTGGAATCTGTTCAAACTTACACTGAAATACCAATGTACTAATCTTTGGTTCTAACTTCTTATTACATTTATCATTAAAATATTTTAAAGTTTATATATATATGTACACACACAAATACATAATGAATAACTATATAGTTTAGAATAATTCCACTGTGTGGACAAACAAAAAAGATAAAAAATAACACCATAATCTGTTTTGTGTATGAAGTAACATATTGTACAATAACTGAAACTCAAGTTAGTTATATGTACAGCAACACAGAAAACTTTCATGTCAGTTTTAAAGCTGGCTTATACAAACCAGAAGGCTTATCAACAAATACTAAACATCAATCAGTACCTTAAAATTGGAGATCTTAAAGTAATCTTACCCATAAGAGAATACAAAGGATCAGTCACTATTTTTGGAAAGATATACAGTTTTATAACTAATGGTTCTCAAAAAAGGATAAGACAAAACTTTAGGTAAAATAAAAAAAAACATTTCTCTGGAGTTATCACTGAAAACCCTAAAAACTAATAAAAAATATAATTTGAACTTTTTTTTTTTTACCATTAGAGTAGACTATAATTAGAATGTATGGTGATCATACTATTAACAGTGAGGGTACCCAATTGATGAAACAATACATTCTAATCTTTACAAGTAAGAAAGGTATATTTAATTAATTATATTAGTAACCAGGTTGATTTTTAGCTTGCTCTGATCAGAAGGTAATGATATTCTCAAGGTGATAAAAGTTTACCTAAACTTGGGACTATCCTTAGACACCACCCCAATTTCAAGTTCGGATGACTTGAAGTCTGCTGATAACACAGTTGACAAGGCTGATATTGCCAACTGAAATGAAAGAAAACAATTAGCATGGATTGTGTTACAAAAACTGTCAACATTAATTCTTTTAGAATAGCAGTTTACTTCTGGCATTTTGAAATTTACAAAGAACTGATCTTTTTATTTTTAGTAGTAAGTATGATGAAATGTTACAGTAAGACTGCAAGTTTTTTTTTATAAACACTTCTCCATTTGGGCAAAAAAAGGCTTCCAGTAAGAGAAGTGCATTAATTACATTCCTTTTGTAACTGATTCATCAGGTGTAAAAGGAGGATTTAAAATAAATATTAAAGACATGGGAATACTAAATACATCTTTAATTATTGACATTTTGAAATTTCTTCAAATTACATTAACAGTCTTAAAACCACAAAAAATGTTAATTCACAATATTCTAACTACAAAAAACAACGTTACCTGTTGAGTGAGTTTTCATATTTAATCATAAGTTTAGAAAGAACAGATTTAAATGGTAACTATATAATGTAATGTATGATGAAACGTTGCACACATTTAATAAATAACATTGTTAAGAGAAAACATTATTTATTAAGAAAGGCTTAAATATATGTATACTCTGTAAGTGATTAAATTAATGATAATAGGGAGGAGTTGATTATTATTTAGTGTCGTGTGGAAATAATTTGCTTTAACTCCTGTTCTTATACTCGCTTCATTGAAAACTTTCATCTGCATGATACTGTGTACGTTTGGAAATTTCTGGCAGTTCTATCACCAATATTTGTTGACACAATCACATTCTTCTTAAATGGCAGCTTGATCACTCACAAGTTTCCTTGAATAAATTTTCTGAAGCAAAATCACAGTCATCAATTCCTGATAAGATTGCAAACCAGAAAATTTGTTATACATTCCTTTTGTTTATTGTAGCTCATTTATGTTTCTCAGTCCACCTCACTAACTTCAATATATGAAACCTGTATACTTTGAGTAAATGAAACTTAAATTGAAATATCTTAAATTGCTTAAACATATACAAATAAAGAGTGGTGTTTGTTAGGAGCTTCTGCAAAATAAAATGGATCCATCCATTAATATTTTTTGATTCCCTTGTATTCTAATTTTATCATCTAGGACTTCTGTTTGAATATTTATATTCAATAAATTCTGAAATTCAACATATTTGTAGTATTGGTAATAACTATGAAAGTACAAAGGTGATACGCATACAATTAATGAGCATTTGTTAATGAGTGGTCAATTTATCTTTACCAAGATACATTATTACAGACAGAAGAACAGCAAACAAGTTATACGATACACTGGTATTTTGTATTTAACCAAAGCAGTACAGTATTTTAATGGTACATAAGTATGATTGAGAAATATTGTTCCATGTCTTGTATTACTCCACATAATTCAGCTAAGTTGTCTGCTTATAGTTTGGCCTTCTTGATTTCCATACAAGCCTATACAGCTTTAATAATATTCATATTAGGACTTTTTGCAAGCCAAACTATGGTTATGAATGTTCCATCAGCTTCTTTGTCATTCCAGGTAAAGTTCACCAGATTTGGTTTAGTTTTCTATCCCAAGTAGTTTTTGCGAAGTTACACAGCTTTTGAGGCCACTCTGTAATAATGTGTATCTTACTGTTCTGGAGGTGGCATTCACAGTGGTACTTACAATAAGGTCACTGGCAAGATCCATACTGGAATGTCAAATAAAGAGTACACCTTATGCTACTTAACATTACTATTAAAATAATTTGAATTTTCCATTGTGACTGCTTCTATTATCAGCAGTTGTAGATTCACATATCTTCTTCAGTTTCCACACAGCTTCTACTGAAATATAAAGTTTTATTTCAATATGTTGCAAAGAGTAACTTTCACCAGCCAAAACTTAAACTTACAAGTCTGTCATGTTGCTTTTCTATCTTGGTGGCCATAAATGTATTTATCACATTACTGCTGGGAACAGTATAACTGCTAGTACTTTTATAGACATTTTGTGGGTGTAGTAGTAATTGATAAGTTAGATAACAGCCAATCACAGTATAAATTGAAAACATCTCATAATATTTCCATTTTATAGTTCACACAAATGTGTGTGTTTATCTATATATATAAGGCACAAAAATCTGTGTATCTGTTTGTCTGCTATCTAACTACTCCTAGGTCACTGGGCCAATCTAAACCAAACTTTGTGGTATGATAAATTAGAACATAGGGCATGTTAATAGGGATTCAAACCCCTCTACCTCCCATTATTGCTGTTATTGAACATTTATTATCTTTGACGTAAGTTAACGTTAACTACATTCATAGATGGTACCACGTCCTTACACCCACAACAAAAAACTATTACATTTTCTATAACACAACATACACGCAATGTGGGCAAGTGCACACAAATGTCATATATCTCAGAGAGTGCACTAACACTCTCTATCGAGTAATGCAATGAAAGAAAAAGGCTGCCACTATTGCAATAATACATACACTCAGCTGAAGTTTCTACTTCAACAGCCACCATAAGGCTCATATGAAGAGCAGTTTCCTGAGTTATACCAACTTCCTACTTTGACCTGTGACATTTCAACTTCAGCCCCTAACACACTTATGTGGCCAATGACCTTCAATTAATCAATCATGTGAAACACTGCAGAAGGACATTAAGAGCTGGATGTTGAAAGCTGATAACAGAAAGCACCCATACCACTCTTCCTGACCATTGCACAGTGTATACCATATTTTAAGTATATACATACTGAGTTCTTAAAGCTTATACATAACTTTTGGTGAAGTAATAATGTATATGTTATGTTATAAATAAATTGTGTGGAATTTAGGATTTTTGTGTTATTTATCATAGCATTCACGCCTACATTTGTTAAAGTTCATAACCCGAACAATGGACAGGTACCTCAGCTTGAGTGTGTGCGTGTATATATATATATATATCACCAAGTTCATAACCATGAGAGTAATTATACTGTGATTTTTGGTAATGTATGTAGATCTTTACGAAATTTCGCAGGTTATTGGTAAACATTACAAGGTTTTCCTACACAAAATATCAGA